CTGGGAGCGCACGGGAGCCCCGCTCGCCGCTGCCCTGCTCCCCCCACCTCCGCCCGCCGACCGGAGACGAGGACCGCCGGCTGTCCGGGCTGCCCGGCCCGGGCGCTGGGGACGCCGAGAAGCGAGGAGCCCGCCGGCAGGATGCCCGCGGACCGCCGCCGGAGGTAAGCCCCAGAATGGCGGGGCTGGTCCTCGCCCAGGAGCCCGACCCCGGCCACTTGAAAGGCGGACTCCAGAGATGGTACCGCGACCGCAAGTTTCGAGCGGCTTGCGATGAAGGGTCTGGAAATCTACACTCGTTTAATTTATGCAGCTGTCTTCTCTCGTTTTAGATTCGGAAAATTTAAACAATGAAGAGACAGCCTCCGAGTCACTGTGGATTTGTAAATGCAATCCTGAAAGTTTTTGCATGGTGTAATTTGCTTACGCGTATTTATTAACCTGTTAACTCGGGTTAGTCAGAAAATCGGCATTTAAAATATTCTTTGAGGAATACTGCAAGTTCGATGTTGTGCTCAGGCATCTGTTATTTATCAGCTTAGTTAGCATCTGTCTTCCCTGAGGTGGTACCAATGCAGGTCCCTTGGTCTTGTATGTGACACTCTTGCCCTCTAGGGCCTCTCCAGCTTGGTAGCAGTTTGATGACTAATATTAATAAGATGTTACATAACACGAGGGTACTGGGCCAGGACTGGTATTGCTGCCACTTGTAAAGGCAAAAAGCCCAGCCGATGGTTGCAGACGCTGCTGTTTGGGTTTCTTTTCTGTCCATTGAAACTTTCCACAGCATTTTTCAACTCTTTGAGCTTAAATTCCAGGTAAGTGTATCTGTTGATTCAGTCTATATTAATGGCACATTTGCAAAGAGATAACTTTGTTTTCATCCCATCAAGAATTTCTGCATTGTACAAATGCCAAATTTTAGTCTTAAGATAGAGCTTTCTGATTAAGATAAATGAAACAATGAACTATTTCATTTTCCAGGCATAATTTTAAAGTTTCATTTTCATTAGGTTAAAGTATTTAGGGAGATGAGCCCTTATAGTTGTCCAATTGAAATTGCTAACAATTTCAATGTATTATGCAGTAGCTTGGTTAAATCGACCATGTCTGTTAGCTTGTTTGAATCTTGAAAATAACACCAAAGATTTAAATTCGAATCACCTATTTATTACACAGTAATGATCCTCAGTGAAGCTTCATATTTGATGCAGTTTATCTTAAAACATTATTTAAGATGATATGTAAAAATTAAGTGCAGAAGGAAAGAAATAACCAGCCTAACTATTGAATTATTGAATATAGAAGCTTTAAAGTAAATGTAAAGCAGGCATGTTTTCCATTTAATATAGTCCCTTTAGGGAGAGGACAGGGAAAAAAAAAACAAACCTTAGATCATTTCCAACTACTTTTCCCTATTATCTGGCACTGTTTAAGCATGAAAGTAATTTAGTATCTATGCTTTTTATAAATATATAAGGATATAATAACATATAGCTTAGAAGAGTGTTCAGGAAAACAATATAAACTGCTATGCTCCTGACAGCAGATCAAGATTTAATTTAGAGAGTCATGTGTGCAAATGAGCTCAAACCCATTCTTTCTTTCTTTCTCTTTTTGTCCTTTTCTGTATCTTATGAGCTATTGTGGAACAATGCTATTCACAAGAGCTGAATAATGAAAGAGAAAGTCTAATATTCAGTTAAAGGGACTTTTTTCTTTTTCTTCAATCTTATATTTAGAAGGAGGTTTCAATTGTAAATATGAAAGAACTTAGTTTTCAAGTACTACTGCATGTATCAATAGTTTATAGGTACAGAAGAGTTTTGCTTTCTGTCTGGTTAGCACGGTACCTACCATCTCTGTTGCGCTCTGATTGTCTTCTGTGGTCTGGATGATAAAAAACAGAAGGCTCGTGTCTTTGTTGAAGTAAATGTTAGTTACAAACTGGTCACTTGAGTTCATATTTTTTTCATAATGTTTCTTAGGTTACAAAAATGTTTGAGATCATTTCAAACTTGTGTCTCTTTGTAGAGAAACTTGTTATAGTTTAGTTCAGGTCTACTATACCTTGTCTTTTAATAAATTTTCTTGAGAAAATTATTTCTGAAGGTTACAGCAAATGCTAGACTTAATTATTTTTTTAATTGGAAGATTTGATGAAAGAGTAGAGAAGACAGCAGGGCACTGGAAGTCCTTTCTCTGCATCTTATCTTCTGTGAGGAAGTTATTAGGCGTCACAATCAAAGTATATAATGACCTACTTGTTTCAAAAATTCAAAAGCAGAAAGGATCTGAATTGTTTTACTTTTAATTCAGGGTATATGACTTCCTTAACTCCAGCTGAGTTTTCACCCAACCTTTGATGATTATGGCCAAGTTCTACACTTAAATGTACATTTGTTGAGGTTATAGTAAAAAAAAAAAAAACTACTTAAATACTTTTATGGTTTGTATAAAAACAAATAGAATTAAGGATAAACACACCATTTGCAAGTGTTTGACGACAGACAGCTAGGGAATGCAGTGGCACTGTCCTCCCCAGGTGTGTTTAGAGGAGAAGAGCAGGCCATTGACAAGCAAGAACTCAGACAGCTGGACCACAGAACTGCCAGCTGTGTTACATAGATCTGAACCACACTCAGAAGTATTCTGACTTAAGTTTCCTTATAATTAGTTTTAGAATTTGTCCTTAAAAAATAAAAGTATTTTTGAGAATTTCCTACATGAGCGTTGTATCCGCATTATTTCCAACCCTCCTAGTCCCCCTCCAGCTCCTCTTATGTCCCCTGTCCCACTCCCTCTCAATTTCTTGGCTTCTTCCTCTTCTTTGATATGCCTGGAGTGCTTCATCTTGAAATAGGACCCTATGAAATTTCCCCCACCACACCCTTGGTATGTCAACCGGTTTTGTCGTCATTCAGATCACGTTAGATTACCACCCTTTGGAGATTTCATTGGTGGAGCATCCCTGTTGCATCTAGGATGCATCAACTAGCGGTGTGTCTTGTTCCTCTGGCTCTTACATTCTTTTTGCCGCCACTTCTGGGATGTTCCCTGAGCCTTAGGTGTAGAGGTTGCACTGTAGATTGTATCACTCAGAGCTAGACATCCCACAGTCACTTATTTCTGCATTTGACCAGTTGTGGAACTCTGTAGTAGTCTCTGTTGTTGAAAAAAAAAATCTTTGTTGAGTGGTAGAGGTACACTTGCCTGTAAATATAAGGATACATATTTAGAATATAGTAAGAAAGTACTTTTGGTCTAGGGAAGTGACAGAAGTGGGAAGTGGGTTCTTCTCTGGGGTCTGTGACCTCTCCAGCTGTTGCAGCACCACATACGAGCTCCCATCCATTAAGTGGGCCTTAAGTTCTATTAGAGAACTGTTGATTACCCCCAAGACAGAAGTTCCACTACTACATCAATAAAGGTAATTTGCTAGGCTGTCACTGTTGTGGTTCATAGGCTTTACAGCTGGGTAGGACCATTGATTGGTTTTCTCTCTTGGCAGCTTACATAGTATCTTCTGATACTGTGAGAGCTAGTCTTCAGAGAGGAGGCTTTTTTGTTGTTGTTTTGAGACAGGGCTTCTCTATAGCCCTAACTGGCCTAGAACTTGCAATGTTAACCAGGCTGCCTCCATCTCACAGAGATTTGCCTGCCTCTGCCTCCCAAGTACTGGGATGAAAGGTGTGTGCTCCCTCAGGTTGAATTTGTCTCTAATTAAAAAAGACTATCTACTCAAGCACCTGGATATCACAAGGAGTGATTTATACTCTTACGTTATTCTCAGTATTTTTTATCAGTTTCCGGCAAGTAACATGACTAGAAATAAAGTTAAGCTCTACTACACTTAATGTCTATAACACATAAAGTTCATAAAATCTCTTGTGAATCATGAAGGCTCTAATTCTTGAGTACCCGTTGCTAAACAGGTATTTAAATCTCAAACATCATAGTCCCTCCTACAACCCATATTCCCCTCAGTTATGGAGTCCGTTCCATATACATAGAGCAAGCTTTCATCTTTTTGTTCAGTTACAATGCTTAAAAAAGTGAACATAGACTGGATTCAAAGTCTTGCTCCGCCGTGACATAGTGCTCTTGGGGAGCCTCTTGCTAACTCTGGACCTGGCTCCTTCACCCTTAAAGTAAGAATTTCAGAGCTTCTTCGTGGCCTTCTGTCTGGGACTGTAGAAATTCACATGAAAAAGCATCAGCAACTCATAGAAAACTTGTTGAAAAATGTTATTTTCTAGCGCTTTCAGCTGTTAAAATAACAGTTCCACTCGTTTACCTTATACAGTCACTGCTAAAGCTTATTTCAAGTGGAGACTATTCACATTCCCATTTCAAATGTGGAAATGGAAGCTCTGAGCTTACCTACCTAAGATTACATCTCTAACAAGCAGTGGAGCTCAAATTCAGCGTCATTCTGGCTTCAGATGCACATGGTAGTAACCACTGTTAATTATCTCTGTATCTCTGTCATCAAATATATGTGTTTGCTATGCCTCTTGCTATAGTGTAAGCAGTGCAGGTTAGTCCTTCTTCGTTTTCGCCGCTTCTGTCCCTGCACATGAAATAATCTGTTCATTCAGAAGGTATTTGTGTGGCATAGATTTTGTGCCAGACCTGAAGCAGTGCCCAGGACAATTAAATGTAGTACCTTCCTAGATGAAGTATATACAGTTAAGATTAGTTGCTGACCCATCTGCTTGACAGTCATTTGTTCTCCAACATGCTCAAAGAAAAGGAGGAAACTTTTATCTGACTACTTCAGGGATGGGTTCAGGGAACAGAGCAATGGAACGGCACCTACAACTGCTCAGGACTCCCTCTCATAATTCTCCATTCTTTGATTTGCTCCTTTTGCATCATCTTCTCACTGAGGATTGACTAACTTTCTTTTTCTGGTTCATGTCATCAGCTGTAAAGCATAGCCCAAAATCATATGGTCAGCTATAGGATACTGTCAAACCATATCTGAGGGACAGACGCCAAGGACATGCTCTTGTTCCCATGATTGCAGTGAAGGCCGAAGGTGATAAGAGATAGATTAGATTCTCGAAATGCTCTATCCCTGCTATTAAGCACGTATAGTGAAGCCTAAGAAATAATAGACAGGAATCTCCCCAGTTCAGCCGTATAGGTAGCACAACAGACAGCCAACAGCAATGTCTACTTTTCTTCTCTTGCCTTGCTGGATGGCATAGAACTGCAGTCTTCCCTCCATGACTTCTAAGTACAAGAGGATGGGACCATGACAGTAGTGATTTTCTTTTTTGTGTACTAAACAAAACTAATGACCTCATACGTGGCTATTCACTTATCCGTTTTTAAAGTCCTGTTCCAGAGACAGAGTGGATTTTTGGTAGTTCTCCATGCAAATCTGCTTCCATGCCTATGTCTGCCATAGCAGCGTTCAGTGAACACAACACAATTTCACACATTCTTTCCCAAAGAAAAGCATGTGCTTTGTCAATTTTTGATACTAATAACTTACCATGGCATTCAAGAAAACCTCCAAGTGCATTTTTCAACACTATGAAGCATAGTTAATTTTGAGAAAGAGGAATATTGTCACGATCTCTTAAATATCTCTATTTGTTGTTAGAACCTGCAGTTCTTTGGTTATTAATACTTATTTTCCAGATGGTAGTCTTTTTTTCAGTGTCTTAGTCTGCCAACTTTAACATGATTCTATTTCATTTGAAATTGGTTTTACTTTGGGTTGATGGTGGGTGTTAGTGAAGAGAAGAGAATGGTTACATCGGTAAGCAGGCTTTTCCTCTTGCCTGTACTCCGGGACTTTGCA